CGCATCAAGCTTTTCCTTAAAAAATGCCTCTGTTAGAGCCTAAGCACACAATGTAAATAAAAAAACCATATGCTCGCAAAACACATGCGTGAAACGACCTCCACTAAACTTATCTCTCAGATTTGCTTTTAGGTGTTGTAAGCAAAACGAATAGTGCACCGTTGGGAACACCTTTGACATTGCTTCCATCAAGCCAACATTGCGATTGGACATAATGGTTAGGTCCCTAGTTTTATCAACAATCTCAATTAATTGTTCTAAAAACCAACGCCAATTACACTCATTCTCCGAATTAACAACAACAAAAGCCAAGGAGAACAAACCTGCAATGCATATAACAACACAAATAGTAACATAAGTAAACAGTAACATATATACAATTATTAAAATGTAACAATAAAATAAAATCAATAACACCAAATTAAACCAAAAAAAAAAAAATCACATTGGCTTCCATATTTTGCAGTAGTAGACAAAATGATGTCTTTATACCTTCCCTTGAAAAAAGTACCATCAATGAACAATATGGGTCGACGATAATTAAATCCATGTATACATGTCTTAAATGACATGAACAACCTACTAAAACGCTGCGTGTCCAAATCACCTTCCAACACAAAATGACTATCTGGATTACTCTCATTAGCAGCCTGTNTCACATTGGCTTCCATATTTTGCAGTGGTAGACAAAATGATGTCTTTATACCTTCCCTTGAAAAAAGTACCATCAATGAACAATATGGGTCGACGATAATTAAATCCATGTATACATGTCTTAAATGACATGAACAACCTACTAAAACGCTGCGTGTCCAAATCACCTTCCAACACAAAATGACTATCTGGATTACTCTCATTAGCAGCCTGTACATACCACCGTAATTGTTGGTATGACAACGAATGATTCCCAAACAACATACCCCTTGTTTTTTTCGACACCCATCCAAGCTTGATCATACGATATGATCAAACCATAATCTATATGAAACATATTTTTCATATCAACTGGTCGTGTGTCAGGAGTTGTTGGAATTGTCAACAATATGACCTCCAACTAAATTTGAAGTCAATCTTTTGTTCTTTGTCATACATGCAGCCACATCACACGTGTGCTCATTATTTAATTTCTTAATATAAAACCATCCATTTATCCGCTGGAGTGTGGCAACAACAAACCACTCACACCCAGCGGAATATTTCATGACACATTCAGTCTTCACCCTTGTTTTTTCATTCTTTACATAATTAAACTGAAAATCATCCTCGATTGTATATTTGCATAAAAAATTTCGAAAATCAACTACTCCTCCCTCAAACTTCTGACCAATCTCTACTATTTCATTTGACCATCCATCAGTCAACAAAACCTTCTCATTGTGAGAACAAAAACGAGAGAGAAGATCATCCTCCCTGCCAAAAGGGTTAATAGTTAATTCAGAACTTTCCACTACCTTCCTTACTCTAAAAAACACGAACCTCATTCCTTGTAACACCAACTGTAACATCAACAACATTCAGCTAAACAAAACGTGCAATTAAAAACATGTTTCTCACATTATGATCATTTTGTAAAACACAATTCGGATGTCCAGAAAATAACGAACGACAAGGCAACACAATTGAAACCCAACCCATTCCACTTGTCACAAACAACATGTAACACATCATCAAATGTGGAATTCATTGAAATTCTTAGCACAACAGTCTCTTAAGAATACTTGCAACAAACTAAAATGTTATCTTCCATCTGTTATAACCAATAAAACAAAAAGAAAGGGGAAAAAATAGAAAAACAAACATAATCAATTCTAATTCCAATAATTCACTACCAGTAACTTGAAAACAAACTTAGAACCTAATTTAAAAAAAAAAAACTCCAATAAGAACGTCGCGATATGAATACAAGAAAGTGACATTGAATTTTGGCAATAACAAATGAAAAAAAAAACAAAAAAAATAATCAATTCTAATTTCATTAAAAGCACGAACAATAACATGAAAAACAAACTTGAAAAAAGAAAATAACTCTGGTGAAAAAAGTTGCAAAACTAAATTCCGGTAAATAACGTCCAATTTTCGGCCAATAACTTCAATTTACGGTAAAATGTTCAAACAACACTATTAATCATATTATGTAACTAAGTCAATTATAATGAAAATATCTCTGGAAATCAAGAACCAGTAAANTACACTACTCGATGGTCTTTGTTTCTCACTACCTATATGGTTTTTTTTTTTCCCAGATAGACTAGCACTGCAAATTCCTGTTATACTTAATCAATTGAAAGCTTTTCTTCATTGTTTTATTCCATTATTCTCGTTTGAGTGACCTTTTGATAGTTCCCCTGTGGAACTGGAACTAATATTGGGTAGTTTTGGTCTTTTGGTTCCTTTAATTTCTGAAGATGTGCCTTGACATTAATTGTCATGACATAGTTAATTATTTTCCAAAATTACCACCACTCTTGCTGATATTATAATGTGAATTTATGTTTTGCCAACAAGTAGAATTATGATTTTCTATACTGGGTACTAATTTTAAATCTTATGCATCTTCATTTTATGAGGATATCTCAGTGAAAGCTGAGGTGATGCATCGTTGTGATAAGTGGATGTGTTGGAGTGACTTTGTAAGATCCTGGTGTCATACATGTACCCAGCAAATGCTATGTTCCCCAACCCTTCTTCCCTACCTCAACTAATTTTTATTTTAATTCACTGTAACCAACAGACTGCTTAATGCATTTGCTTATAGCTGCCATTGTTAGCTTGGTTAGTTTTGTTGGCATTNGCTTATAAACTAATTTTTATTTTAATTCACTGTAACCAACAGACTGCTTAATGCATTTGCTTATAGCTGCCATAGTTAGCTTGGTTAGTTTTGTTGGCATTGCAGACCTGAGATGGTGGTTGGATGGTACCNAACTAATTTTTATTTTAATTCACTGTAACCAACAGACTGCTTAATGCATTTGCTTATAGCTGCCATTGTTAGCTTGGTTAGTTTTGTTGGCATTGCAGACCTGAGATGGTGGTTGGATGGTACCACTCACATCCTGGATTTGGCTGCTGGCTTTCTGGGGTGGACATCAATACTCAGCAGGTTGTATTTTTTGCATTTGTTTNATAACATCGTTAAGTATGTTTTTGAGATAAAAAAAAAATAGAATTAAGTTATTATATATAATTTAAAACATGAACTTAACCTTTTATAAGTTTTTTTACCGGACTTATTTTCAAACAAGTACATCTAGGGGACTCATCTTCGATTTTCACTTAAAAAAACTCACTTGATATTATGGGAAAAATGAAAAATTACTCAAAATACCGGGGCATTACTGCGAAAACTTGTATCTATTTATGTCTTTGGTATAGATCTGGTTGGCATTGCTGCTTGCTGCCAAAGAAATCTGCCTAGAGAGAGAGAGAGCGAGGATGTCAGGAATGGAGAGACTTCAAAGGATGTTTGCAGGAGCCGGAGGCGCCTTGGGCCACCCACCGCCGGACTCTCCGACGCTTGATTCGTCGGAGCAGGTCTATATCTCTTCCTTGGCCCTTCTGAAAATGCTCAAACACGGTACTAATCTCTCTCTCTCTCTTAATTTTAGGGTTTCTTTAAGGGAATAAATCCACAAGATCGTATACATGCATACAGAGGTGTGATAATTTGGTCCATTCGTACGTGGTATCTCGACCTAATTAGGGTTTTGTAATTTGGGGATTTTGTAGGGAGAGCGGGAGTTCCGATGGAAGTGATGGGTTTGATGCTTGGGGAATTTGTAGATGAGTACACAGTTCGTGTGGTGGATGTTTTTGCTATGCCGCAGAGTGGTACTGGTGTTAGTGTTGAGGCTGTTGACCATGTTTTCCAGACCAATATGCTCGATATGCTCAAACAAACTGGAAGGTAATGGCTATTCTGTATTATTATATTTTTTAGCTGTGTATTTTGTTATGCATTTGTAGAAATAGTGGGTTTTGTTATGTATAGTGTGGTCTATTTGTTCTGTTGGGCAGATTGCGAATATTGAGCTGAAGAGAGTCTACTTACGGAATGATCTTCTTTATTGATTTTTTATTTTTCTTTATTTGGTGGAGGGCTTCTCTGCTATTCCCTTTGGGTTTGTGTTCTCTTTTGTGAACTAGAATGGCCTTTAGGGCTGGGAATGAAGGTTGGGACTTGGGAGCGTCTATGGGTACCAGGGGTGGCATTTGGAGGCTTAAAGCGATAATATGGAATGATGCCTTTTATTTTTAATATTAAAATTTTATTAAAAATTAATTTATTTTTTATTTTTTATATGTGTTATAGAGGAAGAATTAGTATTGTCGATAAAAATGTTTTAATTTTTACTTTTGTTTTTTACTAGAAGAGAGTAATGTGAGGGAAATATAACTTGACTTTTGAGTAAATTTTTTTTATATGTTTACTTTTTTTTTTTTTTAACTTTTGATTTTTGAGTTTATAATATTATAGGTTGAATCATGAGCCCAAATTATTGAAATTAAAAATTTTGATTGAACTTAAATATTTTTGAGGCCTTTTTATAGGACTTAAAATTTTTGTGAAGTTAAAATTTTGATGGGGGTTAATTATATAACTCAAATTGTGGGGCCTAAAGCCCAAGCTTTATCTACAATGAAGTTGGGCCAGCCTTGATGGGTACGCCCCATAACACCTCCTTGTTAGGATGAAAGTTTCAGAGATATTGNCCACTCACATCCTGGATTTGGCTGCTGGCTTTCTGGGGTGGACATCAATACTCAGCAGGTTGTATTTTTTGCATTTGTTTATTGCTGCCTTAGGTTTTACCATCATATAATTGTAGTTCATGTCTTTCTTAGTGAGTTGATTGTAGAAAGGTTATTACCCACTTCGGTCCCCATTGTTCGAGGGTGTTGATTTTGGCATTATTTGCACAAAATACAAATTCTCCAATGATTCTATAAATATATTGTATTTGTAAGCAGCTTTCTGTAATAAATACCTACTTTTAATTTTATCGTATGTCCGACAAAAATCCATCAATTTCCTCTACTTGATCTTTTTGCTATATTTTTTGTTTGTATTGTAGGAACTAGAATAGGTTCTTTTTTGGGTGTGTGTGTGTGTTCAGTTTCATTTCTCATTCAAGTATACTAGCACTTGGACATCTGTTCCAGATGGTGACTTGACAAAATAAATTCTTTTTGTTGGATTTTCAGGAACTTTTCTAGATTCTAATTCTTTTTTTTTTCCTAGGAAACATCTATATTTTATGGAAATATGCTTTATTACTGATGGACACTTTTTGTGTTAAGGCCTTTGGCTCTGAACATGTGGGCATTATCTAGGTTACCTGGAAGTTCTGTCATGAGCTTGAACTCACTCAATGGTAGCCCTAGTTATGAGACCCTAGCCCAGGACTTGGTAAGCAGATTGGGTTAATGTGACACTTGTCTAATTGCGTGTCCTTGAACCATGATGTGATAAGATATAATTGCTAGTGGTGTTGAAAAATTATAAGAGATCTGGAAATCTTATGTCGTGAGTGATTGTGTTCAGTCATGAGTGAATCATGTTTTTTTGGAACTGACACAAATATAGTGTCGTTACTTTCTTTAATCAATCTGACTTCTGACATCTGTGATACTTTGCAGAGTTTTGAGGCTCTCAATCAAAGAGCTGTGGCAGTGGTGGTGGATCCAATTCAGAGTGTTAAGGGGAAGGTGGTGATTGACGCCTTCCGTCTGATCAACCCTCAAACAATGATGCTTGGCCAAGAGCCAAGGCAGACAACGTCAAATCTTGGGCATCTTAATAAACCGTCCATCCAGGTAAGTCTCACATATAGTGGTTTATTGTCTCGTCAAAGCTGTTCTGTCACAATTTGATTTTTGTTATCTGATCAGCAACCTGTTGGCAGGCATTAATTCACGGCTTGAACCGGCATTACTACTCGATAGCCATTAATTACAGAAAAAATGAACTTGAAGAGAAGATGTTACTGAACCTCCACAAAAAGAAATGGACAGATGGCTTGAACCTTCAACGATTTGATACACATTCTAAAACCAACGAGCAGACTGTACAGGTAGCTGGAGTTTTGCCAAACTATGAGTACCATAGAGTTTCGGTTTTGGTTATTTTGTTGCATTTGGCATCTGTATAGAAGTATGAAGAAAGTTGTTGTCTGACATTGATGCATGGTGTTCAATGTAAATTGGCCTTTACTCAATGTTATTAACACTAATGAGGGTCTTTAGGAGTGGACTTATGTACAAATTTTAACCTCTGGCAGTATTTGCAAAAGGGGGCCTCCCTACCCTTCTCCTTGTTGCTTGAAAGTTTCAGCTTTTGATATTGCATTGAGCAGTCTATGGCCCATGTCCAACAGTCGGGGAATGTACTTTGCATATGCTTCGGCAGAGTTGCCAGGTGGATTTGGATAGTTATACTGGGGCATGTGCTTACAACTCTTTGTCCTATGCTTCTGTTTTACTGGCTGCCTTGGATGGTTAAAAGTTACATTGGCTCATTTTATAGTCCATCAAAAGCATGCATGATCTAAGCAACTGATCTTATTTCTGGTTGGCAAAAGCTTGCACATGTGATGGCATAGTTTCCTTACCCTTGTGGCTGGCCTGATTTTAGTTTTAATTCAAAAAACCAAAAAAAAAACAGTGGATGTGGAATTTGAATGATCACTAGACATGCATCCAAGGTTTATCTGGGATGATGACGAGATCCACGTGATGCTTTTGAAAAATTTCTGTAGAAATGTTCATAATATGTAAGCTTATATTTTGATGCTTACCCATTTGAGGCCGAAGTTGTGATTGTTTGGTATCTCTCTGGATGTGCAGGAGATGCTAAATTTGGCCATCAAGTACAACAAAGCAGTCCAGGAAGAGGATGAATTGCCACCAGAAAAGCTGGCAATCGCAAATGTGGGAAGGCAGGATGCCAAGAAACATCTCGAGGAGCATGTCTCCAACTTGATGTCTTCAAACATCATTCAGACTTTGGGAACCATGCTTGACACAGTTGTGTTCTAGAGTTCAGCGGTGGACACCGAGCCAAATTATGTTTTCGGGGTGGTCAAACTACAGTCATATGGGTGTGCTTTCTCTTAAACTGTACTCAGCTCTTTTATTGTTTGTACGCTGGTGTCTTACTAATTTGTTCTTCTGGTCGGAGAAACTAAATTCAGTTGAATTCAATAGCTGATGTGCTGCTACTTTACTTCTAGAAAACCCATGCAATCGTTGAGAGATAAGATTTTAACCAAGAAGAAGACAACAATGAATTATTTTTCTTTTTGTTCTCTCTCTCCTGCCGATCATAACAGTGGGAGCCCTGGAGATATCAAAGCAACCAACCTTCTAATTAAAACCTAGGTCATCTTGCATTGGAATTTATACAAATGAAAGGTATGGTCCTCATCTTCGGTATCTTGGATCTCAACCACACCCCTCGACTTGCTCTGCCCCAATGTTATAAAAGAAAGCGACCCTCTATACCCCAACACAGACATCTCAGCCTCACACACCAGCACCCTCCTACACCCCAACCCAACCAAGCTCGAGGCACCCTTCGTTAAAGGGTTAACCCATGGATCNACCCCAACACAGACATCTCAGCCTCACACACCCCAACCCAACCAAGCTCGAGGCACCCTTCGTTAAAGGGTTAACCCATGGATCATCATTGTTTGGATTCAACTGGCACACGAATGGCCGAACATCCTTCCTATCAGGATCCACTGCCTCAGACCAGATAGGATCCGATCCCCAAAATATGGATGAACCAATACAACCCAAAGAATATCCACACTTAAATTCACAAAAATTGAACTACAAACCCCATCCAAGTTTAATTTTTTAATAAATAACACCAATCAAAAGTATATACTTTTGATTGCTAAAAGATACAATTTGGCATAGATCAACTGACAGTAATGAAGTGGATTAGGTTCACATTGTAGGGTAAAGCCCCCCGCCCCCAAAAAAAAAACCTCACATGAAAAACAGACAGACAGACAAAATCCCCCAAATACCAAAGTAAAACTCCAAACCCCTGGGTTGCAAAACACATGATAAGGGCAAAACACACCCACCCACCCAACCATAGTGGAATGGTGTGATTGCTTTGTGATGTTAGTTATGATGGTTATTCTCAGAGTATATGTGTTTCTTTTCAAATTGAAGACCCCCTTGGATGTGTTGAAGATGATGATGCAGCAGTATTAAATGGAATCGTTTCATGATTAATGCCTGAGAGGATCTTAAAAAATTGGTATAGTGGCTCACACTTATATTTTTTAAAAGGAAACCCATTATCATTGTGAGCTTGATCATGGAATCACTTTATTTTACATTTACTAAATTGTCCTCTGTTGAATGCATAATCTAACAAAATTCTGTATATAGATTTTATTCTGAGACTGGGTTACATCAATGAGAGAAGAAACATGTTGTAAACATCAACTCATCAAAGAAACTACACCATTCTAGCTTTTTTACGCCATGACCAAGATTCAGATGGGGATTTGGGCAGAGGAGGAAGCAACAGAGCCTTCCTGCACAGACCAAAGGGCCATCCCTCACAGTGAGAAAACTCCCGAATAATCGATCGCCTCCGAAAATCTGGGAAATCAATCCTGTTCAAGCTTGAACATCGTGAAAAAGTTGTCCTAACAGAGACATATGCATCCATGCTTGAAGTACTGGAACACCTAGATAAACAACTTTTAACAGAGAAGAAGTCCTCTGTTTCTTTCTCAGTATTTTCCTTTTGTTGCTTTGCCTTTGGAGGAATACAAAACTCTCCTCTTGTTGGAGACAATGCCCAACTGATGCTATCCACTGTGAAGCTTGCCTTTCGTCTGCATTTAGCCTCCTTGTACTTACTTATAACTGCAGAAACAAATAACTGGAAGGCAACAAAACAAAAAAATCAAAACACCCAAGTGAACTTGTCGAAGAATATGGTAAAACTGGGCTAATCCCACTTTGCACCCTGATAGATGCATCAATTCTTAATTTATACCCTCAAACATTAAAAGTCTCAATTTATACCCTCAATATTATGAATTGATAGCAATGTGAGTTTGTCTCAGACTGTCATTCAATTTTTGGTTATAAATTAAAGCACCTGAGGTGCAAATGTTTTGGGCATGAGAATGAGATGTCTATTGTTGCAAATCTTTGTCAGCAATCAATTTGACACTATTTTTGTGTATCAAAAATAGGGATTCTTGAATCCAATAANTAATGTGAGTTTGACTCAGACTGTCATTCAATTTTTGGGCATGAGAATGAGATGTCTATTGTTGCAAATCTTTGCCTGCAATCAATTTGACACTATTTTTGTGTATCAAAAATAGGGATTCTTGAATCCAATAAAATCTAATCATATCACGTGCAATTCATATAAAACACTAACAGTATGTGAATTTATGCATAAGTCTATCCCTAAAGTACGTCATGTGCTTCAATTTTTGACGGAAAATTGAAGGCAATCTAGTTAAAGTTCACATTGATACCAATTCATAACATTAAGAGTAAAAATTGAGATTTTTAATGTTTGAGGGTGCAAATTGAGAATCGAAACATCTTTCGGAATATAAAGTGAGATTAGCCCCGTAAAACTTGAAGCCCTGTGCACAATGGCCTAGGGAGGGTAGAAAGTTTAAAGCACGAAACTTGACGAAGAATATGCTACAACTTGAAGAAAGTGTTGAGATCAGTAAATATACTTCCTGTTCGTCATCACAGTCGCTGGCTGGATCATCTTCTTCTGTGGCTGAAGAAGATAGCCTTCCGCTAAATGTATGGCAGTTGGTGAATGCATCCTTGAGGAATTTGCATTTCTTGGAGGGGTTTGGTGGCTCTTCATGATGAAAGAGGCTCATGTTGAAGAGAGTTTGGTGGAATTTTGTTAATGGGTTTGTGGGTGGTTATAAAGATGGTGTTTACAGCACTGAGATTTATAAATTCTTAATCTGCTTTGATGTTCATGTTGACATGCCAGTGTGATAGTGGCCTTTCAGCTTTATCTGGTTTTATGGATATTATCCTTTGGGGTGAAGACAAAGATTAAGGAGGTTGTGAAAATGTTTAACAGTGACATTCTAATTTGAAGTTGAGCCTCTGATTGCCGTTTGATGCCGAATCAACGGCTAAAAGATCCTTGTGAGGTCTCCTGAATTTGTAATTTCTCATGCTTGATGTCAAAGTGTGTAGTTTTTTCAGTTTTACTTCAACCTTAAGTAATTCTAAACTAGGACATAACACCAAACCATGACTACTACTTAGACCAATTTGCTAAAAAGACACCCCTCCCATAAAAGTTTTATTAACCATATATATATATATATAAAGAGTGAGAGAGAGAGAGAGATGCCGTTGGACTAATTCTAATTTGTTGAGGTTAAAATAATTAACAAGTAAATTACCAAGCTCGATCGCACATAAGGGTGTCAAAATATAACACAATCCGTTAACATAACGCGGACACGACATGAAATTAGAGATTTTGTATTTTTCTTAGGTCAACGAGTAAACTTGACACGACGTGACATGATTAATAAACGAATCGAATATGAGTGAAACCTATCAGAAGAAATAAATAACACAACTCAGTTATATGCCAATTATATACGATTAATATACAATACGAACTTGATATAATATGATTCGTTAGATACAAACTAATAAACAAATCGAGTATAGATAAAATATTTTGTAACACAAATCCGCAAAGATTCTGACTCATCTCCCTCAACAAGAACACGAATGACAGGCCTCATCACACATGCATGGAGGTTACTAAGTTTAAGTTCTTTCCTTTACCGATGGACATTTGATTCAATTGTACTCTTGCCGACATAGTTTGTATACCTTTGCATCGGGTTCCATGATGCTGAGGTATCATGACTCTAAACTGAGAAAGCATTCCGATCACACATTGCGAAATTTTCCATCAAATTATCACCTTTTTATTCGCAATATTTCCTCAAACTGAACTCGAGAANTGGGACACTGAAGAAAGCATTCCGATCACACATTGCGAAATTTTCCATCAAATTATCACCTTTTTATTCGCAATATTTCCTCAAACTGAACTCGAGAAAGCCTTATCATGCCAACTTAGGTTGTGAAAATAGCATACACCTATCAAGCAGACAAAATAAAGCAAAATTATCATTACGAATGATCATTAGTTGGGAGGCTCATGTCTACATTAATCAATAGACGAATATTCAGAGAACAAGACCCACAAGGAAGAACAAATGATGCTGGCAAAGCACTTGGAGTTTCTAAATAAACCTTATTCCCATTCCTTAACAATTGGTACCCCATCTCCCCCAACTCCAAAGAATCAACAGAAAAGTAATCGCCACATTGGCACCGGTAAAAAAGCTCTAGAATTTCACCACTATCTTCAACAGTGAGATCCTCTAAGCATACATCTTCCGCAGTTACTGTGTCCTGTCTCAAAGCTCGCAGTTCATTATCATAAACTGCACGCGACCTTGGATTGCTGAGGATTTCCCAAGCTCTCTGTACCTCAACAAATCGATCTCCTGGCTCAAGGTCAGGATTGGGTGTCTCAGATGTTTTTTGCAATTTGTCCGGATGAGAATTGAGGATAGCAGTTCGGTGATTTAAACGTATAGCTTCATAGCTTGCATCTTCTTTCACACCCAAAATGTCGTAGTGGGTTCTGTGGATTGCGCTGCTGTTAATAAGCATGATCTAGAACTGGTTTTATCAGGTTGTTTACACTGCAAAGGCAAGGCACAAAAACATAAGCCAAAAGAAAACAGGAATGACATTCGGCTTTCTAGGAACCTATCAAATTGAGTAAAGTTATAGTAGGCAAAAAAAAACTTGAGAATTAAAGTTGATAATAAAGGGGGAGATTGACATAGTTCTGCATGTGCAAGTATACAAAATTTCATGTCTTAGCCCTGCTAACTACTGCTTGAACTTGCCTCAACAAGGTTGTCAACAAACAATGTTTCGTGTCCTCAATCCTATAAATGGAAAGTCACACCGGGATATTTCTAGGGCAGACGGTCCAGTGTCCAAAATGAGTCATTGATTCAACGCTTCCAACCCATTGGGGGGGGGGGGTCTGTAACTCAGTGAATTCATGCTGCCACTCCATGATTTTCTCATCCACTGGATGATTAAGTTGTAGAATAATTTGACAGAGGCATTATTACCTCAACCAAGGGAAAAGGAAAGACAATTTTCACACAGAAGAGGAGCTAATGCCACATTGTGGTAGCTGACAAATATGAGCAACACTATGTGGATCTAATTTACTAACCTAATCACTCAGCCATTGGATTGATAGTGGATCCCAGCATTTTTTACCAATTCAACGGTTGTGATAGTCGAAATAATGTTAGTGGACAAATATAATTGGAAAAAGCTTCTGCCTATACAGAGGTTTAGCTACATGGGAAAAACTCAAAGTAAGCTAAGAAAATACTTGTACAAGACCCAGTTAAGTTGATTTTTTCATTGGCCCAGCCACAGAAAATTTATCCTCTTCCCTCTTATTTTCCTAAATTTTCTCAGCAACCAAACAGCCACATGCTGCTTGTTCATATACCAAATTCTGATTTTTGTACTCAATTTTCACATGCCATGAAAAATATCATTCTCAAGCTACAGAAAATTACCCACTTGAATGCTATAAACCTATGTCACTACATAATTCGATAAGTATTTACCAAAAATATCAAATAATTCCATTCGTTTGATTGTGTATGTGTGCGTGTGTGTACAGAGCTGGAGATTGGGAAAAGTAAGATCAAGACAACCATTATATTGTACGATGACGAGAGCGAGAGATAGAGATATAGTTCTTACCCTCCGAGCCTCTGGAGAGAGAGAGAGCTCCTAGGGTTACAGAGATTGCATCTTGCGTTTCGCTTTGGAAGAAGGAAATTTGGATCTTCTTGTGAGTGCCAACGGGTAGGGCCGGGTCTGCTTTGTGTGGGATGGAGCACACTAAAATCAATTTTTTTGTACCTCTTTTTGTTTTTTCATTCAAATAAAAAGATGACATGTAAAAAAATTATATTATTTAAGGTTATTCTATTTTATTGACAATCAATACTTACAAATAATTCAAAATAAGATCCCTTACTAAGATTTACTAGTCTAATCTATGTGGTTTCATCAATAAAAAATTTCAAAAAAATAAAAATAATAATATTAAACTAATCATTAAACTACTATGTCACTTATAATACTGAGTCATCATACGGATGACAATCTTAACACATTATACAAATGAGATACATAATTAGTAAATTATGATTGAGTAATTTTTGATACAAACTCGCAAACTAATCAGATTCGAAAAAACACTAATACCAAACTAATCGATAAACGTCACTAACACCAAACTAATTGATAAACGTCAAACGTAAATAACATATCACAACTAAACTTGCACATGTAGCTTAGTACGGTGGGGTTAATTTGAGACGAACTGTAAAATAAAGCGAATTATAAACTCTGACGTCCTATGTTTAACCTTCGCTGATTTCTTTGGGATTTGATTGATACATATACTTATCAACTCATTACAAATATTAGCGCTTATTCTACAGTGGTGAATCTATTGTGGCTCTGTGTTGAAAAGGCTTTTATCACTGGGACAAAAAACTCATTGAACTGATATAAAATGGGAAAAATTTCCCATTTTTTTATGTTTTTCAAATTCTGTATATAGAAATTAGAGAATCCTTACTCAATTTTGCAAACATCTGGACTTGAATTTTTAACTTATGGAAGGCCTATAAAAGTATATTTTCACCAGCAAGGTCATTCAGCAACCACAGTAAGGCACATTCATGAGCTTGCTTTTGTTCCAACTTGATTGGGCTAGTAACATTAATAACAGAGTTTCAGTCAGCAAAAATGATGCTAAGAACCTCACATCCCCTTCATGATGAAACAGTTTCCCAATTTACATCTATGAGCAAAAGCCTTTTCATATTTAACCACTAAAATCTTCTTCCACTGGCACCGGAGTTCCTATAGCATAAACGCTTTGGCACCAAGACCACCATTGTGTAGTACCAAAAAATCACCCAACTGCTCCTCCCTC